TTTATTTATTTATTTATTTATTTATTTATTTATTTATTTATTTATTTATTTATTTATTTATTTATTACCTCGTCCAGCAGCTCCAGGGTCTTCTGCCGGGCCTTATCAAAGCCCGCGCACAGCAGCCGCGGGTGAACTCCCTCAGCAATAAATCTGCAAATAAATAAATAAATAAATAAATAAATTAATCAATTAATTAATTAATTAATTAATTAATTAAATGAATTAAATTAATTAATTCAATTAATTATTTAATTATAATAATTAATAACTGATGGAAAAGAGCAAAAAATTAGCTCTGGCGGCACCTCCTACGACCCGCGGCCTCAAACCCTAAACCCTAAACCCTAAACCCTAAACCCTAAACCCTCACTCCCCAAGCCCTCTCCACCCCGTTAACTCCTAAAGAAACCATAAACCCTAAACCCCTCCCCGTAAAGCCCAATCCCTCAGTGGCGAACCCCTTTCCCCGCCCCCCCAAGCCCCAAACCCCAAACCCTAAACCCTAAACCCTAAACCCTAATTTGGGGTTTGACCGTTCGGCCTGTCTGAGGAGTTCTCCCACGAAGAGGACTGCGCTGGTGGTTCCGTCTCCAGTTATCTCGTCTTGAGCTGTTGCTGCTCTTGCAATTAAAGCTGCTGTTGGATGTTGGATTTGCATTTCGTGCAGCAGCACGCAGCCGTCCTTCGTCAGCTTCAGCTGCCCCGCCCCTGCAGCAGCAGCAGCAGCAGCAGCAGCAGCAGCAGCAGCAGCAGCAGCAGCAGCAGCGGCGGCGGCGGCGGCAGCAGCAGCAGCGGCGGCAGCAGCGGCAGCGGAGAGGGGAGGGCAGCAGCAGCAGCAGCAGGGGTTCGAAGAGCAGCAGCAGCAGCAACGGGGATAAAGACAGCAGCAGCAGCAGCAGCAGCAGGCACAGCAGCAGCAACAGCGAAGTTAGTAGGCAGCTGGCGCTTTTTGCTGCTCTTCATCCAAAACCCTAAACCCTAAACCCTAGCTCTCCCCAAAACCCTTTATGGATTTCTTTTTATTTTTCACTTTTTCATTTTTTCATTTTAAGAATTAAAATTGAGTGTGGGGCCCCACAGTGGAGTGTATATACACCCCAGCAGCCCCACAGGCAGCAACAGGCCGCAGCAAAAAGGGAATCGACCCAGCTGCAGCGAATTAAACGGATTTAAACTGCTGCTGCTGCTGCTGCTGCTGCTGTTGCTGCTGCTGCTGCTGCTGCTGCTGCTGCAGCAAACCCACCCCCCACAAGCATCTTGACTGTGCCCTTGGGCCCCAAGTTGGACTTCAAGACATCCTGCAGCCCTTTTGCTGCGCTGCAGTTTGCTGCTAGTGCTGCAGCAGCACGCAGCACGTCCGCCTTCGCGTTCACCACCGATACGCTCATCCTGCAGCAGCAGCAGCAGCAGCAGCAGCAGCAGCAGCAGCAGCAGCAGGGGTTGGGGGGATGCGCGGGGAGGGGGTAGGCTGGGGCTGAACGGAGTGTCTGCTGCTGCTGCTGCTGCTGAATCACTTGCTGCTGCTGCTGCTGCTGGATCGGTTGCTGCTGCTGTTGCTGCTGCTGTTGCTGCTGCTCTCGCTGCTGCTGCTGCTGCTGCTGCGCGTGGCTGTTCGTGGCGAAATCAGGTGCATGTACACATCAGCGGCCGCTGAAATGCTAAACGCTCCTCCTACTCTACTGCTTCTGCTGCTGCTGCTGCTGCTGCTGTTGCTGCTGCTGCACCTGCTGCTGCTGCTGCTGCTGCTGTCGCAGCAGCCTTGAAACGTGGGACCACAGCTGTGTTCGGGGTCTTACTTGAAAGCTTAGGGAGCTTGGGTGGGTCTGTACACCTGAGGAGCAGCAGCAGCAGCAGCAGCAGCAGCAGCAGGCAGCAGCAAGGGCAGCAGCAGCAGCAGCAGCGGGCCCGGTGGTCTCCCGCTGCCCTCTTTGGTGTCCTCTATGAAATTGCCTGCAGGCAAAGCTTATATGTTGCACTTCAAAATAAATACGCTGCAGCACCTAAACCCCAAACCCTAAACCCTAAACCCTAAACCCTTGGGCCACGGCGCAGCCCCCCAGCCCCCAGAACCGCCAGCCCCAACACACTCCTTCTGCTGCTGCTGCTGCTGCTGCAGCAAAATGGAAAAAAGAAATATTTAAATTGCTTTTTGAAACTTGAGATGGGCTGCGCTGCGCAACTGGGGTGTACGTACACCTGAGGCTCCGCAGCCTCCGCCCAACTGCAGCAGCAGCAGCAACAACAGCAGCAGCAGCCCGTAGCTGTTCTAAAGCTAACGCTATTGAGTGGCTAGCTGGCTAGCTAGCTAGCTAGCTAGCTGTTTGCGGAATGCATTTGAAAACAGCTGCATGCAGAGCGCATGCAGACACCGCGCGCCAGTCTGCGGTGTACGTGCAGCTCTGAGGTGTACATACACCTGAACGGAACCTCCGCGCCCCTCAAATTTAAACTTCCGAGTTTTTAAAGACGCATGCAATAAGAGAAAATTAGAAGCTCTTTGCTGTACAAGCGAGCTGGCAAGCAGCTGCAGCAGCACTGCGACGCCGACGTGTACGTACACCTCAGAACCCGGACTGTCTTTTGTTTGGAGCTGCAGCAGCAGCAAAGCCCGGGGCAAAACGGGGTGTCTGTACACCTGGCTGCTGCCATTTCAAAAAACTAAAATCAAGTGGAGGGCCCCAAACCCTCCTTTGTTCTCCAAACGTAAACCCTAAACCCTAGAATGGAGGAAGAAGCCGCCGCCATCCCCTCCCCTGCCCCCCCTAAACCCTAAACCCTAAACCCTAAACCCTGCTACATGAAGAACCCGCCAGGGCCCCCGCCCCCAAAAGGGTCCGGCAGGGGGCCCCTGCCAAAAGGGTTTAGGGGCCCCCCCCCGAAGGGGGGCCCCCTAGACCCTGAGGCCCCCGAGGGTCCGGGGGCCCCCGGGGGCCCCGGGGGCCCCGGGTGCCCCGGGGGCCCCTGGGGCCCCTCAAAGGGCAGCAGCGGGGTGTGGTCTGGGGCTGGGTCTGTACCCAGGGGCCCCATGGGGTCATAGCGGGCCCCTGGGGGCAGGGGGGGCCCCCCTCTGCAGCAGCAGCAGCAGCAGCAGCAGCAGCAGCAGCAGCAGCAGCAGCAGCAGCAGCAGCAGCACCACACAGAGCGACACGGGAGTGGATTTGCTGCTGCTGCTGCAGCTACTATTGCTGCTGCTGCGGCTGGTGTTGCTGCAGCTACCGCTGCTGCTGCTGCAGTCGCTGACGCTGCAGCTACTGCCGCTGCTGCTGCTGCACTCACGCTGCAGCCGCACCTGCTGCTGCTGCTGCCGCTGCTGTTAGTGCGGGGCCGTACCTAGGGTTTAGGGTTTAGGGTTTAGGGTTTAGACTAACCTGCCGCCTTCTCCTTCCACTCCAAAGAGAGGATGGCCGGGGCCCACAAGAGACCCCCCGCCCCCCGCGGGGCCCCAGGGGCCCCCCGGGGGGCCCCCGGGGGCCCCCGGGGGGCCCCCCAACCCGGGGGGCCCCAAGGGGGGCCTCAAGTCATCTCCACCCACACTAGGAAGGGGCCCCAAGAAGGAGGAGGGGGGCCCCCTGGGGGGCAGCAGCGCGGTGGGGGCCCCCGTCTGCAGCAGCAGCACAGCAGCAGGTTTCATATCTAGGGTTTAGGGTTTAGGGTTTAGGGTTTAGGGTTTAGGGTTTGGTGCGGGCGCGGCCTCGGGCTTGCTGGCTCGCTCCCACTGTACGTACACCCCAAACCCTAAACCCAAACCCTAGCTCCCCCACTGCCCCCACACACAGGCCCCAAACCCTAAACCCTAAACCCTAAACCCTAAACCCTAGAAACGCCCTAGACTCACGCGCGGGCTTGGGAGGGGCCCCCCTCTCGAGGGCCTCTGTGAGGGGGCCCCCGGGGGCCCCCATTGAGGCAGAGGGCACAGCCGGTCGTGCAGCAGAGCCTCCAGCGACTGCAGCAGCAGCAACAGCAGCAGCAGCAGCAGCAGCAGCAGCGGTTTGTTGCAGCGTCCGCGCAGCCCGCGAACTGGCTCCTGAAGGCCACAGGCTAAACCCTAAACCCTAAACCCTAAACCCTAAACCGTGGACCCTGGCGTGGCTTGCCTGCAGTTTTTCGGTGTCGAACTGCTGCAGGGGGTCCGCAGGCGGGGCTTCTGCTGCTGCTGCTGCTGCTGCTGCTGCTGCTAAGTCATCCGGCAGCTCCAGCAGCACAGCAGCGCTGCTGCTGTCAGTGCAGTCCGCCCGCAGCACAGCGCGGCCGCCCACTTTGCCGAGGCTGAGCCTGAGCCTGCGGCCGGCCACCAGCTGCTGCTGCTGCTGCTGCTGCTGCTGCTGCTGCTGCTGCTGCTGGGGGGCTGCAGCAGCAGCAAACACGCGCCACTCCGGCCGGGTGTACGTACAGCTCCAGCCCTCCGCCCCCTCGCCCTCCGAGCTGTAAATCACGCGGGCTATTTGGCCCCCTGGCAAGCTAATGAGAGAGCCGGGCCTTGCTGCTGCTGCTGCTGCTGCTGCTGCTGCTGCTGCTGCTGCTGCGGGCGGGTCCTCGTCGTCGCAGGGCAGGAAGCCCAGGTCCGTCATTTTGGAGTGTACGTACACCTCAAGCGCCCGCTGCCCCCGCAGGGGCCCCGGCAGCAGCCGCAGCAGTTCAACAAAAGTGGGAGTGATCATGGGGGGCCCCCCGGGGGCCCCCTGGGTTTGAGGGCATCTTGCTGCTGCTGCTGCAGCAGTGGCTGCTGCTGCTGCTGCTGCGGTTGCTGCTGCGGCCTGTCTGGGGGTCTTCGCCTCGCCAGAGGTGGCTGCCTCCCCTGTAGGTGCCGACATCAGTGTGCGTACACCCCAGCTGCTCGTGCTGCTGCTGCTGCTGCTGCTGTCGCCGCTGCTGCTGCTGCTGCTGCTGCTGCTGCTGCTCGCGCCCGTTCCCGCTGCAGCGCCGATGCCCCGGCCCACGGATTCAGGCCAACTCGAAGGCACCTTGAGAAGCTCAAGCGAAACCCCAAACCCTAAACCCTAAACCCTAAACCCTAAACCCTAAAGCACCCGCACCTGCCGGGCGACGTGGGCGGGCAGTCGCGCTGTGTGTTTCTCGGGTGTACAGACAGCTGACTCGCAAGTTTGGTTTCTTCCTTCTTTATTTTGTTTATTTAAACTCAAAGAATACAATTTTAGAGGAAGACAGACACATCTCTGCAGCAACAGCAGCAGCGAGCAGCACGGCACAGCAGTGGGGCGGAGCCTGCTGCTGCTGCTGCTGCTGCTGCTGCTGCTGCTGCGGTTTCTAGCAGCTAAAAGCGCTACATCTGCGTCTTTTGTCTCTAAGGAAGACACTCAGGGTCTTCTTTTGCTGCACTCCCAGATATAGCTGCGGGCCGGGGCTTAGGGTTTGGCGATTAGGGTTTAGGGTTTAGGGTTTGCTGCTGCCCGTAGCCGCCTGTCTTTCGAGGCTCACAAGAATTCTCCATTCTCACTGCCGTTGACTCAGCAGAGAAATCTAAACCCTAAACCCTCAGCAGCAAGACCTAAACCCTCGGCAGAAAACCCTAAACACTAGCGCTAGACACGCGCTGCTGACTTGCGCGCACACGCAGGAAGCAAGTATCTGCTGCTGCTGCTGCTGCTGCAGCAGCAGCAGCAACAGCAGCTGGGTCTAGCCAGCTGCTGCTAGCTGCGGTTTAATTCCTTCGAAGGCATGTGTGCTGGCTGCAGGCAAGTTGCAGCTGCCGCAGCTAACCGCTGCTGCAGTTAACTGTTGCTGCAGCAGCTAGCCATCGCAGCAGCAGCTAGCTGCTGCTGCTGCTGCTGCTGCTGCAGTTCCTGCAGCAGCTTGCTGCTTCTCCAGAGCAGCTAGCTAGTCACCTCAGCTGGAGCCCTATGGCTAGCTGCAGCTAGCCCACAGCTGCCCCCGCCGCGCTGCTGCAGCAGATCTGAGCCTAAACTCTAAACCCCAAACCCTAAACCCTCGAAAGTGAGTACAGCTAACAGTGTCTTTTAGGGTTTAGGGTTTAGGGCGACTTCACCCGCAAAACATAAACCCCAAAACACCAGTTCGGGTTTTCCCAGGCAGCAGCAGCCGTCACGGCGCTGCAGCAGCAGCAGCAAAAGCTGCAGCAGCAGCAGCAAAAGCTGCAGCAGCAGCAGCAAAAGCTGCAGCAGCAGCAGCAAAAACTGCAGCAACAGCAACAGCAGATCTGCCGCCGCTGTGCAAGATTGCACAGGGATGCGTCCATACCACAAAATTCGAACTGCTGTTGCTGTTGCTGCTGTTGCTGTTGCTGCTGCTGCTGTTGCTGCTGCTGCTGCTTGCTGTTGTTGCTGCTGCTTTCGCTCTTGTTGTTGCAAATGTTGTTGCTGCTGCTGCTGCTGTTGCTGCTGCTGCTATTTGCTGGTGTGTCCCGCGCAGCCACTTTAAGTGATGCAGCAGGAGCAGCAGAAGGCTTCAGCCGAGCTTTTCAAGTTGTCCATCTAGGGTTTAGGGTTTCGAGATAAGGGTTTAGGGTTTAGGGTTTAGCCAGAGCTGCCAGGCTCAAGCTCTGGGGAAGGCTTTTCGTTCCTAATCCCCACGAAGTGCAGGCAGTGGTACTGCACCTGCAGACGCAAACCTAGGGTTTAGGGTTTAGGGTTTAGGGTTTAGAGAGCGTGGGCGCTGAGGACTAGCGGCTGTTGGCCATGTTCAGGGTTTAGGGTTTAGGGCTTAGGGTTTCGGGTTTGGGGTTTAGGGTTTAGGGTTTACGGCTTCTGACGCGCAGGCACGCAGAGCCACTGCTTGCACGCCTTGTTGAGGGTTTAGGGTTTAGGGTTTAGGGTTTGCGTTATTAGCTGACCTGCATCATTGACTTGCGATTTGAGGTGTAGTAGCAGTCCCGCCATTCAACCTTAATTAAATCGAACCAATTCTTCACCACTGCGCGTAAACCCCAAACCCTAAACCCTAAACCCTAAACCCTAAACCCTAACTCTGGGAGTCCTGCGTTCTCGCCGGCATTCGCTCAAGGGTTTGGCGCCTCAGGACCAATTCTGCCCGCGCGCATAGCGACAAGGGTTTAGGGTTTACTGCCGAAAGTCCCTTTTCCATGGTTTAGGGTTTAGGGAAGAAGCTCCCTCTTCTAGGGTTTAGGGTTTAAACCCTAAAGACCCCCTTCTAGCGTAAAGTGCCGACATCCGCATTTCGGGCCAAAGGCAGCCACTTGAGCCAAGGGTTTAGGGTTTAGGGTTTAGAGTCGAGGGTTTAGGGTCTAGGCTTCCGGATTTGAGATTTGTGAGTTCCGCGTTCTGGGTTTAGGGTTTAGGGTTTACTATTCCGCGTTTAGGGTTTAGGGTTCCAGGTTGAGGGTTTAGGTTTTCGGGTTTAGGGTTTAGGATTCCGGGTTGAGCGTTTGAGTTTCTGGGTTTAGGGTTTAGGGTTTGGGGTTCAGATATTCCGGGTTTCGGGTTTAGGATTCCGGGTTTATGTTTGCGGGTTTAGGGCGACTACATTGAGGGTTTAGGGTTTAGGGTTTAGGGTTTGCCTGCGAGTATTTCTTCTGCGGAGAACTCGACGCTCATTTCGTGGGGCATTTCCGCGTAGTGGTAGAGGAGGGGCTTGTGTGTTTAGGACTACATTAC